TCGAGCCAAAACGAGCCGAACACGAACAAACACATCTTAGTTCGTGAGAGACACAAGAAAACATGGATTGCATTTATTGAACGAAATTAACGAGGCGAACACGAGTTTCTTAACGAGTCGAATACGAGCTGTTTGCGAACAACGAGTCATTTTGACAGCCCTAATTGTATTGCATATAATAATGTGAGAGTTTTTATATAATGAATTTAGAAAATTTACATGCATGCAACACAATTCTTATGTGTTTATATATATAACACCTAAAATTTGATATTTACATTTTAAACATTTTGGTGTCATAAGCTAAGTGCATTATGGTGTATGTTACTTTTTAGAGGTTAATAATGATGGTACTTTTGATGTGATGTTAACATTTTGAATGTTATAAATGTAAATTATGAAAGTTTAGGTGTTTCATGTGTAAATAAATAGGAATTGTGTGGTATGCATGTATGTAAATCTTCCATTTAATTATTAAGAGACCAACGTGACTATTAAATGGTAAAGAAATATAAATAAAATATAAGATTTAGCAATTATTAAATTTTAGTGGTACCCAAGAATTATGAAGCTTTTACGTTTTTACTCAATTGGTAGTTGAATGATTACATCTTCGCCCTTATAATGCTAACAATTATGATCATTTGAGTTGTTTCGGCTAAAAAATATTAACTCTTTTGTCATATTAATTTTATTACATTTACATGCATAGCACACAATTCTTTTGTATTTACATATCTTGCCCCCAAACTTTCATATTTATAAACATAACACTCTTTAGTATCTCATGAAAAGTAGCACTATTATCAGTTTTTTTTTAAGTCAAATGCACGTTTTCATGCATAGATTTATAGCACCAGAAAATTTTATACATAAATAGGGATGTTTAGTTGTGAGAAATGTAAATACATAACAATTGTGTGCTACACATGTAAATTTCTAGTTCTTGCCTAGGGCTGTCAAAACGGCTCATTGTTCACGAACAACAAGTTGTTCGCGAACAGCTCGTGTTCGGCTCGTTAATAAGCTCATGGTCGGCTCCTTTGCTAAGGTAACGAGCCGAACACGAACAACACGAACAAATATTTGTTCGTTCGTGTTCAGCTCGTTTTGGCTCGAAATTCTATTAATCCATTATATAGATATCTTTGATGAGTAGTATTTAAAAATAATAATAATTGACTGCAAGGCTATAAAGATTTATAGTCAATTAAAAGTATTAATAAAGAAAATAGAATAAAATTTATTAATTTAGATTCAAATGATGTTTTAAATCTTGTCCAATTTCTTAACATCTTATGACTACGTGATTAGAGTTGTCAAAACGACTCTTTGTTCATGAACGGTTCGTGCTGGGCTCGTTTACCACCCTATTCTTGCCATGTGTACATTGGTTGCATTCCAATGGCATTCCTATAGCACATTACTTCAATCATTTGTGTACTCATTTCACATTTCATAATGATGAGGCTATGAATGTATGATTAATATATTAATGGTATAAAAAATTATAGAATAATGACGTCATAAATAGAATTATAATGATGAGTCGAGAAACTCTATCTTACAAAATCAAAATGTTATCTATCGTACAGCGGGGGTTAAATCAAAATGTAAGGATGGATCCCAGCGATGGACGGACCAGATGCCACAAGCCTCCGATGCGGACGATTCTGATTGTCCAAAGAGCTGCTTGAAACATCCCTCCCCGTCGTCCTTCCTCGTCTCTTTCCAAGTTCGAACCGGAGAAAGACACAGAACCCTCGGGAGCTTTATTGATCTTCAATGGTTCTCTCGGCAATCAGCCGTTGGCTCGTGAATCCGCGTAAGAACCCTCTGGCTGCGGTGCACCAGAGGGTCATCTCCAGGCGCCTCAGGAATTATGGTAATTGATTCTTCCATCAACCTCGACGGCTTCCAGGGTTTCTCAATCGTAACGCTTTGTAGTTTAGGAGTTAGATGAACTCTTCGTGTCATGTTGATATTCAGGTTTACGGTATGATGATCTGTATGATCCGTACTACGATCTCGATATCAAGGAAGCCCTAAGCCGTCTCCCGCGCGAGGTTGTCGACGCTAGGAATCAGCGCCTGAAGCGCGCCTTGGATCTCTCCATGAAGCACGAGTACTTGTCGGAGGAGATGCAGGTTCTGCTCCTCTCCCTGTTTTTGATTAGGAATTCATTCAGTTGTTTTGAAATATTTGCTTTTTTGTTTATTTATTTTGCAGTCCCACAAATTGAGATTTAGGGAATTAGCCGCAAAAAATGTTAGCTTGATTAAAGTCTTGCAATTATTCGGTCTGGGGTTTTGAAAGAGGCGACTAATTATGAGGTTTAACATAATTTATGTTTGGGAGAGAATCATGTCTATGAAGATTTGGGCATGATGCATACCAAGAGGAATCACTTTTCTTTGGGATTGAGATACCCAGTATAGTTTTGGGGATGGCATGTCCTATTTGTTATTGTCCTGATATTTGAAATGGGTTTCTATAGCTTTAAGAAAGAATAAAAGATTTGCTCTATTTTCCTTTGAAATAGCCTTGGCATATTATCATGCTCATGTCATATCACCATGCTCATTAGTATGATTTATGACTTTGTTGTTAGTTGCAATACGAAAACTTGTAGTTTGTTTCAGCATGAAATTGATCTATCAAATCCTTTAAATTTAAACTAGAATTGGTATCAGGTGCTCATGACTTGGTGAATATATGTTTTTGTAAGTATCCAAACCTATCTGGTTCTGTTTTGATATCAATAGCCTATTTTGTAAGGACACCAAACCTCTTCTATAACATTCCATCCATACTAATTGTCAATTAGTATTAAATTTGAAGTTCCTGAACCCTAAGAGATCTCAATAATGAAGAATTAGGTCTTGTTTTATTGATGACATTAAGTTCTTCACATCTTCTCCAATTACCTCATTCTTAGGGGGTGTGCAATCGGTTTATCTGGAAGGATTGGTTCATAAATTGGTCAACCTGAATAAAATCGAAATCCAAAATCCAGAAAATCTAACCGACCCATCCTTTGCTAAAATTAATCCAAACTAAAAACTCAAATGTAACTTGGTTTAATTGGTTCAGTTTTGAGAAAACATGAATTTAGTATTGAGCATAAAATTATTAAAATCAAAGTTCTATTTGAATAGACTCTCTTCATCATCTTTCTTTCTCTTTAATAAATTGCAAGATTAAAGAAATAGTGGATGCATGCTACATGGATCTGATACTGAATCTTCTGGTTAAAGTAAAATTAATTTTCTAGATATAATATTTTTCGATTTGTTCAGTTTATCTGGTTTAATGAAGACTAAAACCTATCCAAAAATTGAAAATTTAATATAATTTTCAAAATTGAAAATCATTATTTCAAAACAGAATCAAATCAAACAAATGCAATCGGTTTGTATCTAAGAACCCCTACTTTCTCTTATACTCACCATCGCTGACATCATTACCCTGATCATTGGCCTTATACGAGCTCTTTGTGGCCGGCTCTGTGAATCTCATTTTTTTTGTATTCTTGCAAAGTGTGTTTGTGCTATTACACCTTATTTTAGGTCATTTTAAACCCCATATATTCATTTTACCTTTGGTCAACTCCTTTTTTATTTATGCTAACAATAATTCATGGTGCCACATACTAGAAACATTTTGAGCCATTTGTTGCATACATCTCTATGTGACTTAAGTCTATCCTTAATTATCTTAACTTTAATAGATGCTAATCCAATAATTTCTTTAATATAATCATTCCTTAATTCATTGTTCTTAGTTTTTTCTTTGTATTTCTATCTCGCCTTCAATTTTGCTATTAATGATTTTGTTATCGACCAACTCTTTAATCCATACAATGATACAACATAGTTATATTAATTATAATTTTATAAAATTTACCTTTAGGTTTTCATGATATTTTTTTTTATCGCATGGCACTCTTGTGGCACTTCTCAATTTTAATCATTGTTAATATCATTTATGATTTTAGGAGGGATTAGCTTGCTGTGCTCGCTGCTTATTTGGATTAAGAAGAGAATAAAAAAAACGAGAGAGTATTATATAACTAAACACAATCAATTTAAGGAAGAACTTTTTTAGCCTAAAATTCTACAAAGGTCTCAAATTAAAAGATTGAAAACAACCATTCTCTAAGTCTAATGAGGGTATACATATATTGCTTGGGCAGGATGGGCGGCAAGGAGACAAACTATTCATTGTTGTTTATTGCCTTAAAACTTGTGTTTTTGTTGAGTCATCCCGTGTTTGCAAATAGTCACACTATTTTTTTTTTTGTTATGTGGATTATTTGAAGGGCTTTATTAATAAAGAGTATTTGAATAATTTTTTTAGTATTTTATGTGTCATTAATTGTTTCCTTGACCGAGAAGTCAACATTCAATTGAGTGTACATCATGAATAAGTTAAATTGAGTTGTAAAACTGGGTTGGTTTAGATAATGTGTGGCTTACGCATCGATGTTAACTGCAAGTGACTTAAAGGGACCCATAGACCTTCAAGATTTGTTGTGCCATTTAATTTATGTGTTGGCCTCTGATTGGTTTCTCTTAGTTTAGCCAATTTTGGGTTTCCTTATCAATGTATGATCCATTTGTAAATACTTCTCTTGATTGAGTTAACCAATTTATCTCACTTCCAGTTTGTCTTGACTATTAAATTTCATGTTGCTTACCTTATCGATATATTTTGAAAGTTTAATGACTTTTCACCTTTCGAACTTCACCATTTTATCTTGTGGTCATTTTTTTATTATTAATTGAATACTCTTATAATATATATCCATAACTCGTGTTATATTGTGTGGTCAAACTTTCTCTTAAAATTTAAATCTTTCCCAAAAAGATTTTTCTTTCCTTCTAAGAAGAAATCTATTTATGATTTGGTGATTCCATTTTTACTTATAATTAATTGTCTTATTTCTTATAGTATGTGTATATTACAAGATCCTAGGAGCAGCTGATGGCAGTGGCTGTAATAGAAGCAACAAGTAGATCTAGCAGAAGAAACAGCAGGAAGCTTTAGCAAAAGAAGCTGGCGGTTGTTCTAGCAGACGTAGGCGGCTGTTGTAGTGGAAGAAACAAGTGGCGGTGGAGGCGCCAGTGGCAGAAGAAATAGACAACGATGTTGGGAAGCTTGATTGGAGAGAGAGGAGTTTTTGTGTGTAAGACTGCGATTTTGATTCATATTCGAACTGTCTAATATAGGGGGAAGACAACTTAATTGTGAGAGGCATACGCGTCTCAACCAATGTGAGCGCACGCCTCACTCGAGTTGGTTGCCTGAGGCATACGCTTCAAAGCATTTTCTTTGGAATTGTGTTGAGGCAGGCTTTAGATTACGCAATTTTAAGCATCGGTTCATTGCAAAAAAAAGTTCATGTTTATTTATATGAAATTATAGGAGCACCTTAAACCTAATGAACATGTGTATAAAGAAGTATTAGGATATGTTTATGTAGTTTGCTATGTTTTCTTTCTATGGAGTGGTGCCACTATGAGGGGAGGACTCCTTTGATTAATAATCTTACTGAAAGTAGTCAGACACAGCTTTGGAAAGAAAAGTTCAAATTAAAATTTCTTTCAAAATAACTTTCTTATAGCTTTTTACCTTTATGGTGCAGAATGTTGCCTTTAAAAGAGAAGCATAAAACAAAGTTAAGTGTTTCTAATATGTGAACGCTTAGGTGAATGAGTGACTTGACACTTAGAGACAAAATGTGTAATGAATATATCCATGATAGGGTTGGTGTAGCTCTAGTGACAGACAAAATTAGAGAGAGTCGTCTTAGATGGTTTGATCACATTAAATGTCAACCATCTGACGATCTTGTTGGGAGAGTAGATGTTTTAGATTTAACATATGTTAACAAAGACAGAGGTAGACCTAAAAAGACTTGAGTATGTTGTATAAAAATGATCTTAATCTATTAGAGTTAAATAATCTATTAGAGTTAAATGATATGACACTCAATAGGATGCAATGGAGAAAAAAGATTCAAGTAGCCGACTCTACTTAGTGGGACAAAGGCTTCTTGTTGTTCTTGTATAGCTCTTTACCTTTCTTTTTTTAGGATGGCACTGTCAACCAAGCAAAGCTTATGTAGCACAAATGTTTGAGCTTCTCACACTTTTTTAGTTTTTGTGTGGTGATCAATATGATATCATTTCATAGTAGAAACTTTCTTATTAGAGAAAGAAGCAATGAAGCCAAAGGAGCAGGTGAGAATGGAGTTGCTGACGGAGTGATGGTTTGAGTTTAATGAAACAATTTTTTTGGTTCCTTTTTTTTTGGTTGGCCTAGAAATATAAGATAATTGATTCTCTTACAATTTATGAAATTTGATTATTGAGATAATGTATGACATTAATTATTTTGAAAAAAAAGGAATGGTTGTGATTTGCTATTGATGAAGTTTCTTGTGAGTTTTTGATAGTATTATAAATTTGTACAGTTTAGTCTTGTAAAGTTGTATAAACTTGAGGTTTTGGAGAGAAAATTACTAGTATTATTTTTATGAAATATATACCTCAGAGGAATGGAATAAATTATATTCTTACTTTTTTAATAAAGCTTGCATGAAATACTTAGTAAGCACTGTCGGCCGTTATTTTTGAAAAGGAATGATTTTTGTAAAAATATGAAAAAAGGTTGATGTAAATTTAATTTTTGAAAGTAACATTTTAATTTAAAAATAGAAGAGACCAAACGGATCCCACACATTAAATAGTTTGGACGGTTGAGCGCGATACCACAAGTAATATACTATCTCGAAGGATAAACATACCACTTGATAGTAGGCTCTACCACCTAAACTAAGGAGTTTGTGATATCCGTTTGGTCTGTAAATTCTTTTATGAATGGCCGGCGAGTTCCCTTATCTAATATAAGGATTAGATAAGGTTCATTTTACCTGGGTTCCAAGTTTTCTATAGAGGCAAACCCTTTTAGTTAATTACATCTTAAATGACCGGGGTCACTTAAGAATACTCTCGATTTAGATCGGTGGTTTTAACTTCCAGATTTTAAAGTTTAGGCTTCCAAGATTGGAAATGGGAAAATCAAATGGAAATGGTTCAAATATGAACAGTTATTTTTAAGGAATCCAAATGAATGAAGAGTA